GGAGCGGCAAAAGGGAGGGGTGTGGGGGCCCGGGAAACAAACCTGCCCCTGTCCGGAGCGGCGAAGGGGGAGGGGGGAGAACAAACCGGCCAGCCGGAGCAGCAAAGGGGTGGGGGTGACAAACCGGCCGGCCTGCCGGAGCGGCGAAGAAAATAAAAAATAAAAACAAACAAAAAATACCTGCGGGGCGGTGGGAGCGTGGGTGCAGGAGGACTCCCGGCCCTGCAGACCCCGGGCAGCGGAGTGCGCACCCCGGCTAGCGGGGGAAGAGAGAAGTGGGGCGGCCAGGGCTTCCTTAAGCGGGGCACTTGCCAAGCGGCCCCTCCCGCTGCGCCGCCTGCTGGGAGGGCTCCGCGTCGCTCTGTTCGGCAGGCAGGGAAGGACGCGGGCTTCCCTACCGGGCTTGATGCAGGGCGCTCCCCTACAGGGCGGCGGAAGCAGTAAACCAAAAAGAAAAAACCTGCAGGGGCGGCCAAAGCGGTGAAGTGCAAAACAAAACAAAACCAAAAAAAAAGGATTAGATGGAATGCCGCCCTTTGAAATCTGCCGCCCCAAGCACGAGCTTGCTCGGCTGGTGCCTGGAGCCGGCCCTGCTTCTACTGCATAATCCAATCAGTCTCAGTGAAACTGATGAGAATTTTGTCAATTTTATTCTTCTATTTCTGCTTCAGAAAACTAAGAGCATCAGGAAAGACAGGCACTGGACATATTTACAAGGACAGAAGACCCCCCCCAAAGAGACGATTCGGAGAAGAGTAGAGTAAACTAAGGAAGAGAGAGAGAGTGTGTTAACATGTGTGTGCATGTATGTATGTGTGTGCATGTTTGTGTGTGCATGTGTGTAAATGGCTAGGAAAGACTATGCCACCCAGCACAGTCAATGAGCAGCACCCTGGAAATTTACCCAACACCCTGCCCTTTCACAGCAGCTGAGGATGGGAACTTTGCGGCTGGGCCCCTCACCCATCTTTTACATTGGCCTCTGGCTAGTAGGTTTAATCTTCAGTCAGGTAATGCCTGGTACTTTTTTCAGGACACTACAGAGCCATATAAGGTGCTTAAGCATGTCTCTCTGTTCAAGAGCAGTCCAAATTCATGTCTCAAACTGAGATCCTCACAAAGTAGCATGCCCTGTTACACTAGCCTGCTGGGCCAGACCTCTCCCACTTTCTTCTTTTCAGCTACCCATTGCAAACACCCACTTGGAGACAACTTACTGTGAAACTAGGAGATGTTTTCATTAGTAACTCTCTCTCCACACCAGGATACACAGGAGTCAGCTTGGGCTCTGGGAAGAGAAAATCTCGAGTATTCTCTTCATAAAAAGCGAGACTGTCCCCCACTGAAAGAGTGAAAAAAGGAAGAACTGTTTCCAAGATGGTTAATATTTTTTGAAAAGTCACACATTCTATAGTAAGCCCTTCGCGGAGTGTGCAAGCCCTCCCTGGCTCACTAGGAGACCTGCCCTTCTTTCCACATTAGGAATGATTCAGTCAGAAGTACATGAGGTCTTTGGGATAGGTGTGCACCAGCAGGAGTGTCACAGGGAATCACAAAGGGTGGTATCCCCTGTGGATCTGCTCTGAGATTGTATGAGGAGGTGCACAAGTCCTTCGGGGCTCGATGTAGGAAGCTTTCAGGACAGCGGCACTTTGCTCCTCTTTGGTATATTGCCCTGCTCCAAATGGCAAATGGGGGACCCTCAGTTTGGGCCCTGAGCAGCCAGTGTAATGAAAACAACAGAAACACTGATAATCACTGAACACTCTCTGTTCTGCTGTGTGCTCATTTTTAATTTGTGAAAAAGGCTCCAGTAAGGTCGGTCATACTTCTAGTCTTAGGGACTGAGAAAATAACTGCTTTTAAATCAAATGACTTGTTAGTCTCATTTCCATTGCTCTGACTACTCTGCTTCTGATTAATGTCTCTATCTTGAAAGTGAAATGAAGGAGGCAGAAGGGAGAGAGGCCATTTACTCCTCCATCTGTAATGAAAGATTAGGCTTAGCACAGCAACACTGGAGCTTGATGCCATCTTTAACACTCAGTTTGTCACCAGTGCCCCAAACTATTTTGGGATCGGAATAACTGCATAACCTCAGAGACAAACGATCCACATGTATTGTGGGGAATTTCCAAAGCAGTGGAACTTCGGAGAGCACACCAAATTCAAATCTGTCCGTCGCTTATCCTTTATTAGGGCCCAAGCTCAGGGGAGCTGAGCACCATCGATCTCACTGATGTGATTAGGAGAAGAAAGCATTCAAGATTCTGCCTTTACCGAGCATGGCCCTTCCAGAATATGCAGAGTGTATCTGTCTATCCATACAGGGCCAAATCCTGATCCCACTGATGTATACTGGGAGTTTTCTTAATATCCTCATGGCATTAGGATTTAGCTCATTAGCATTTAGAGAGAGCTCTACTTTTTTGAAGCACTGTACAAACTACTAATTAACCTAATTAATTGTCTATTTAAATAAAATCAAACAGGAATACTTGTAATGGGGTTATAAAAATCATATTTACATTCTTATGTTTGTTCAGTATAGCTGTCGTCATAAAGTGATTTGCAGTGTTGTTGTAGCCGTGTTGGTGCCAGGATATGAGAAAGAGAAGGTGGGTGAGGCAATATCTTTTACTGGACCAACTTCTGTCGGTGGAAAGGACAAGCTTTTGAGCTATACTGAACTCCTGTGGTCTGGAGCAGGTAACCAGAGCGTCGAGCTTAACACAAGGTGGGACAGACTGTTAAGCATAAGTGGGTAATAAAAGGTTAAGTTGTTAAGCATAAGGGGTTCACTCATGCTGTGGTCCCTTTATGCTTAACAATCTAATCCTTTATGGCCCACTTCATTTTAAGGGGTCTTCTATAGCATGTGTGTACCCCTCATTTTAATAACCTGTCCCACCTTGTGTTTATCTCAGACACTTGGTTACCTGCTTCAGATCTAAAGAAGAGCGATGTGTAGCTCGAAAGCTTGACCCTTTCACCAGCAGAAGTTGGTCCAATAAAAGATATTACTTCATCACAAGTGATGACAGGAAAAATAATAGGGGTTACTTACCAAGGTAACTTTTGTTCTTTGAATGTACTCTCTCCATACAGCCACAGTGCAGGAGTCACATACCCAGCCACCCAACCATGAAACCCTTTTGAGTACTGCTGAGTCCAGCATTCAACTGACTTAGAGTATAAATATCCCCACCCTTCTAACCATCCTGTTGTTCTTCTCTATTTCTAGAAGCCCATGACATTGAGCTCTGAAGCAGAGGGGAGGAGAGCGGTCAGTATGGCACTGTATAAGCTATATATTCAGAGACAAAGGCCACTTTGGTAAGCAACTCATTTTTCTCCTTCATCACATTGCTTTCCCAGGATAGAAGACTAACAAGGAGATGAACTGTGACGCACCATTTGCTAAACTGTGACTGAGGCACAGCCTTCCTGAAACCAGCATCTAAACTTGCTGCAGTGTCAAGCAAAGACCAGTTCATGAACCCCCAAGTAGTAGCCCTGCAAATTTCTGATAAGAACATGTTCTGAATACCTGCCAGAAAAGTTGCTACTCCCCCGCTTGAATCGGTTCTGTGACATCAGATACAAGGACCCTGCCCCACTCATAATGAGACTAAAGGCAAAGCTTTATCCACCTAGAATATATGTCTATACTGCAGTTAGACACCTGTGACTGGCCCATGCCAGTTGACATGGGCTCACGAGGCTCAGGGGCTGTTGGACATTCAGACTTAGTCTAAGGCCCTCCCACCTTGCAATGGTCCTAGAGTCTAAGTTCCAGCCCGATCCCAAACATCTACACTGCAATTAAGCAGCCCCTTAGCCCGAGCCCTACGAGTCCAAGTCAATGGGCATGGAACAGCCTCAGGTTTTTAATTGCAGTGGAGACATACCCTTAGACAACCTTTGAACTAAAACACCCTAAACTTCAGACTTTTCTCCAAAGGCAATGTATGGCCTATTGGTTTTCATAAAAGGCTTTGGGCCAGATTTTCAAAGACCTTAACTCCTAAGTAGGCACATAAATGAAATACTAACATTTTCAAAGTGTTCAACATTTTGAATGACCACACTGGGAGCTACTAGGTGCTATGCAAGTTTTGAAAATCTGGCCTTTACTTCTGTCTAATGAGCAGCTGCCAGTTCTCACTCTCTAGAGTGTGCAATCAGGCTTCTGATGGAAGGTGGTGAAGCTTTGGGAAAAACACAGAGAGATGTATCGCATCAAATGAAAATCATCAACTATTTTTGTTCAAAATTTAGGGTGAGGGCTATGCTGCAATTTGTCCTTATGAAAGATGCTGCATATTGTAGCGATGGTGTATTAGCGCCTGCAGCTCTGATGCTAACACAGAGAGTCAAAAAGATAGAAAACTACAGTAAAAGGTAATAAAGAGGGCAAGATTCTTAATCCTTCTCAGCTGGGTCATTTTTAGGGGCTCTCTAGAACTCCCTCTTGGGCCTTACACTAGAAAATAGAAACATGGCAGCAACCAGTTTCACTGCACTGGTGCTGACCCCGGTACAAGACAAACTGGAATCAGTGCTGGTTTCAATAACAAGCTGAAAAGTTGGATTTTTTCAAAGTTGAGCAAAATCCCTTCATCCACCTTTCTGAGTGAAGAAAGAGTGAAAAAGATACAAACTTCCCATTGTAAAAAAAAATAATCTAACTACATATTTTTGCAGGGCTACAACAAAAAACAGAGCTCTACGTTATTATTCATGTTATATTTACATATCATTGATGAACCATAATGGTGACAGAGATGAGAAAATCTGGAAAAAGAAATTAAAGTAATTTGAATACTCCTAACAAAGCAACCGGTAATATAAAAATGCATTAAATATATTATATTAGTGGTAGAGCACTACCTATTTTTTAGTAATGAAAACTGCCAGTGATTTTACCATATATACAATTGTTCCATATTTGATTACCTTAAAAAGTAGGGTTATTCTGCCACCCTGTGTCCACTTGATTTTTCTAACTTATAAAAACCACAATAAAAAGTTGTTATAGAGCCAATACTAATATTTGCCAAATGGAACTCTAAATTATTATTCATGTTACATTTAAATATCATTGGGGAACAATAATAGTGACAGAGATGAGAAAGAAATTAGATCAATGACAGGGGAAAGAAATTAGATAAATTTGAATATTTCTAACAAATCAACCAGTAAGTCACTAGTCAGAAAATGTATCTTAATTTCGCTGGTAGATGATCAAAGTGTATGCAGAGTTGGGGTTGGGGACAGCAGATAGTTGAAGCCCCCTAGAAGAGGAGATGGGAAAGAGGAAGAAAGTGGGGAGGCAAGGCTCAAAGTTAACACCCACTAGGATGCTCCTTTCAATGTCTAATAAATCGCTATTTTGTAAAATATTTACTAGTCCATTACCTGAAGATACTAGTTGAATTAATCCAAACGTTGTTACATTGCCTAGAAGAAGACAAATAAATGATGTCAAGGTGGCTGAGAAATGATAATATATTCAAAATACTCCTGTAGCATAACAATAAAAAATAAGGATAGATAGATAGATTTGGAGCAACTACACTGTCTTCAATTATACATGCATTCAGAATGTTCTTTAAATTATACTTACTTTCAAGCATCTCTGTTACAGCAGCAGGGTCTACAGCACTTTCAAATACCTAGAGGAAAGTAATACAGAGTATATTCGTCCTTTATAATACAAAAAGCATTTTTATAATCTAGCATTTATATGAACATTTTTATATATTCAACAAATATTTCCCTACACCATGCTGTGTTGTCATTAAGCAAATCAAATAAACCTGTGGAAATACTATATATTTTACTGCGTGTTACATATTTATTAATGTCAGCTGTAAAGTACTGCAACAATTTGTTTAAAAAGTTATGTAAAGTCTTGAAAATCTTAGTTATTTAAACCTGAAATTTCACACACTGTAGCCTCTGAGTCAGACTTAGAAGTGAGTCTAAAGGGTTTTTCAGGAAATCTCCCACTGTTGCACTAACATTAGTATAGTTCTACTACTAGAAGCAATGGTGGAAGAGCTAGTATAGAGTGGACACAGGGTTTTTTGGGGGAATACAGGGTTCTTGATCAAACCAGGGGCCTCAACCCACAGTGCGGGCTGCCATCACCCTGAAGCTCAGGACAAGCCCTATATAGACAAGAGAGGAGTTCAGGCGTCTAGGCCAGTGGTTCCCAAACTTGTTCCACCACTTGTGCAAGGAAAGCCCCTGGTGGGGCGGGCCGGTTTGTGTACCTGCCGTGTCCACAGATTCAGCTGATCGCGGCTCCCAGTGGCCGCGGTTTGCTGCTCCAGGCCATTGGGAGCTGCTGGAAGCAGCGCGGGCCAAGGGACGCCACTTCCAGCAGCTCCCATTGGCCTGGAGCAGCGAACCGCAGCCACTGGGAGCCACGATCGGCCGAACCTGCAGACGCGGCAGGTACACAAACCGGCCCAGCCCGCCAGGGGCTTTCCCTACACAAGCAGCGGAACAAGTTTGGGAACCACTGGTCTAAGGTGACAATCCTATTTGTTTTTATGTAATTTGTAAAGACTGTACATAAAATCAGAACATTTTATGAACATGAAATGAATATAAATACATTTTACTTTGCTTAATTTCATCCCATTACTCCTAGCCACAATTTGCTGGTCCACCCTAAAAGAGATTCCTCTGCCTTGGGGTGAAAACGTGACCTCTTTGAAGTCAATGTGAGTTTTGCCATTGACTTTAATAGGGCCAGGATTTAACCCTTAGTATTTTACCTCTTTCAAGCAGCTGTGGTCAGCTATATCTCCATTGAGTCATCTTTTAACCCAGCCCTTAAACATTTTTGTTGCTTTTCACAGAACCATAGAAATGTAGGGCTAGAAGGGACCTCAAGAGATCATTTAGCCCATCCCTCTGTGCTGAAATAGGATTAAGGATTTTTTCTGTTTTCCACCCAATTTGTCAACATCTTTCAACTTCTGATAATATTGAAGCTTTCAGGACAGTACTTCAGTGATAGGCTTTTTGGAGGAAGGAAACTCAAAAGAGAGCATCTTTGCTATGAAAAAAGGTATGGTCTTATGTCGTGTAAACTAACACCTGATAATAAAAATGAGGTAATATCTTAGCGAAAACAAGGCAGTTTGTAGTTTTCATACATGTTAGCAGGTCAAAGTAAAGACTATGTGGGAGCCTAGGATTTATCTTGACCTGCTAACACTTGTTAAAACTATAACTCCCTTGTCTTCACAGGATTTTACTTCCTGTTAGTTATCGCGGATTAGCTAACACAAGGTAAGAACACACCTTTTTTCCTAGTGAAGACAAGGCTCATTTCACTCTCAAGTCATCTTCAACTGTCACTGCAGGTCTAGGAAGTGAAAGGCATTTAATCGTATTCCTTAGAAAGTGGAATCTTATGAGAGATATGGTAAAATTTATTTGTGGAAACAGAGCCACACAGAAAGCTGTCTGCAAAAAGCAGGGATTCTCCTAACAGAGCAGAGCAAGAGCCATTAGGGAAAGAACAAAGGTAACAGATGTGCTCTGTACTCTTAAAAAATGTCTACATGTGTATTAAAACTATGTTACCTGTAGTGGTTTCAAGATAGTTTTCTTGTCACTATGGGCAACGCCAAACTGTGCTAAAATCATTTTTAAAAACCATCATCAAGCATAAATCACCATTCATTAATATGATAGCCAATGAGCAGAGAGAGTATTTTTTAAAAATCTTTTATAAACATTTTAGAGTTGGCCAAATCATTTACTCCCAAGGAAATTCAGGCTGAAGGCTTGTGTTCTTGGTTATTTCAGATTTTAAAATGGCATGTAAAATGTTGGTTAAAGCGTTCATCTGTCACTTATTTGAGTCATTATATTTAATTCTATGCCTGCCAGGATCATGAAAATCAGATGACAGTCATCCCATAGAGGAGATGTTATTTTGTTTCCACAGAAATGGGATCACAACCAAATAAATACCAAGCAAGAGAACTATCACACTAATGTCCTTTCTGGGATTATATAGGATTGTTTGCCTGGGAGCACACTCCAGTTTAACCAGTGATCCACAACTTTGGGTGTTATTGCCATGAATAAAAATTCAGATAGCAAAGTGTTAAATTTTAGAACCTGTTCCCAGTTACAGTACCTCAAAGATATAACAGATCTGATTCTTTGCTACCTTGCATGGGAATCAAGTGTAAAATGATACTAAATCAAAATCTTCTACTAACTATCCACAGTAGAAGGCAGTAGAGAATCAAGCCCAAAGCATGTAATAAGTGAGAATCACCTTTTCAAACCACATCTTCTCATGAAACAAGAGAGGGAAAATTGGAGGAAGGCACTCTGTCTCCTTGTATTGGCCCATGATGCAGACACTGAGGTAAATGTCATGCTTCTCCGGCAGGAACACACCAGGGCAAGTGATCTTATGAAAGAGAGAAAACAATCATGGTGATCAGAATTCTTTTAGGGCAGCCTTCCCCACTCTGTCCCATCAATGTGCCTCATGCACAATCTGCAGGGACTACCATTATGGTCAAGTAGGTAGTACAATATCTGTGCCCTGGGCTTCTCTGTTGACAAGGTTGCCAGTTAGGGTCCAGTTCTATCTTCAATTACACCACAGGTGGGAAAACTACGGACAGTGGGCCACATCCGGCCCGCGGGACCCTCCTGCCCGGCCCCTGAGCTCCTGCCCGGAGGCTAGCCCCCCACCCCTCCCCTCCCCTCCCCTGCTGTTCCCCCTCCCCTGCAGCCTCAGCTCACTGCACTGCCGGCTCTGGGCGGCGAGGCTGCGAGCTCCTGGGGCAGTGCAGCTGCAGAGCCGTGGCCTGACCCAATGCTCTGTGATGTGCGGTGGCATGGCTGGTTCTAGCTGGGTGGCACGGCTGCCTCTCCTGGTGTCCTGGGCAGCGCGGCTGTAGCGCCGCCAGCCACCAGTACTCCAGGCAGCACAGTAAGGGGGCAGGGAGCACGGGGGGTTGGATAGAGGGTAGGGGAGTTTGTGGGTGTGGTCAGGGGGCAGTATGGATAGGGGTTGGGGTGGTCAGAGGTCGGGGAACAGGGGGGTTGAATGGGGGCAAAGGTCCTGGGGGGCAGTCAGGGGACTGAGAGCAGGGGCAGGGTGGATGGGGCAGAGGTCCCGGGGGTGCTATCAGGGAACGGGGGAGAGGTGGATGAGGCAGGAATCCCAGGGAGGCCGTCAGGGGGCGAGAATTGGGTGGGGGTCGGATAGGGGACGGGCCACGCCTGGCTGTTTGAGGCGGTATAGCCTCCCCTTACTGGCCCTCCATACAATTTCGGAAACCTGATGTGGTCCTCAGGCCAAAAAGTTTGCCTGCCCCTGAATTACACCAATGAAAGTTACAGCTGTATAACTAAGGGCAGTATTGAGTTTTTGAAATGGGATTATCAAAAGTGGCTAAAAGTGTACGTCTACACTGCAGAAAAACACCCGTGGCTGGCCTGTGTGAGCTGGCCCAAAATGTTTTCTTTAGTTTTGCTCCTTTTTATTTAAAAAAGTGTTAATGTGTTGTGCATTTGCTGGTTTTATGTTTCATATATTTGGGACTTTCTTTTTTCAATAACTCTATTTATGGTGATGAAATTTCATGGATTTTAACATTTTACTGAACAGAAACTGAAATATTTTAATTTGATGCCAGAAGAGGGAATTAAACGGCTAAGAGATGAGAGAAATGTTTAAAAATAACTATTTGCACATCTGATGAAACGCACTATACAAAAGATAGATTATTATCTGCTCTTGCTAGACTTTGAATTGACACAATAATCCCTAAAAAGACTATTACACAATTAATATTGCACACAGTGTTGTAGGACTGAGTCCTGACATTTACCTAACCTTTACCATTAAACCCCTTTCCCCTTGATTTAGATCACACCCTTCTGTGTAACTCCCATTGTTTCCACAGTACAGGCAGTGTACATCGTATATGAAATCAGGGCTGCCATCCATCATGTCCTAGGGCTGAAGGGCGAAGGCCATGTAAAAGCAATTAGAAGGTTATTTCGTTCTACTTCACAGAGTGTTTATTTTACCGCATAGAATCCTTTAAACACGCAGTTTCCTTTAAGCGCCCCTGAGAAGGGAGAAGACAGAGCGAGTAGAGATAACCGCACAGTTCTGGGGACAGGGGCAGCGAAATGGTATTTGTTCAGGCCAGCGGGGTGGTGATGCACGTCAGGGCTCTGTGTTGTCGCGTGTACTTACCTGGGAAGGTTGTATGTGCTGCTCCCGCCCCTTGGAGCCCTGTCCACTTTTTGCCCTACCCCTCCCTCGCTCGCTGCCCTGGCTAGTTCTGGCCCTGCACCCGCCTCACCGCGTGGATCTGCAGCTCCACCACCACCTTCAGCGGCATCCTGGGGGGATGCGGGCTGGTCTCCCCGCCTCCACTCACAGGCCGGCCGCGCCCCCGGCCCCCGCTGTCCCGATCACCCCGCGACCACAGCTGTCCGGAAGGGGAAGCGTGGCGTTGCCGTGGAAACTCAAACGTTCCACCGTTCGCCTTCGGAACGCGGAGGCAGGCGGCGCGCGCCCCCTGGGGCCCGGGGAAGCGAGGCGCGCGCGAGGCTATAGCTAAGGCTCCCTGCGAACCGCGAGAAGGGCGGGTTGGGGGAATGCTCCCCAAGGGACGCTTGAGGGCGGGATGCATGCGTGCCATGGAGCCTGCCCAGAGCTTTGCACGTAACCACTGTGTGCAATCTGCGTGCATGCGAGGAGGGGGGGGTTGTGTGTAGGGCTGGACTATGTGTGTAACATGTCTATAACATTTGTAACACACGCATATATTGTGTGAGTTCTGTAGATGTGGCATGTGTGTAGGGTTACCATATCTCGTAACTAAAAAAAGAGGACCCTCCACGGGCCCTGGCCCCGCCC